TCAATTTCAGAGAACACCAGGTTGCCTCTATTCTCTCTTCCCACTATGTGAACACTTAGGTTATCCATTCACTTGTTTCCTTAGTCTCTCTTCAGGTACATGAAATATAGAATTTTTTTCATATTTAAAGAGACTTTTTAGAGTAGTGTTAGGATCATAGCAAAATTGTGAGGAAGGTACAGAGAGTTCCCATTTAACCCTTCCCTAAATGTACATAGCCTCCCCCATTATCAATATCTCCCACCAGAGTGGTGTATTTGTTATAATCAGTAAACCTACATTCACACACCAAAATCATTCAAAGTCCATAGTTTATATTACCATTCACTCTTAGTGCACATTCTATGGGTTTGGACAAATGTGTAATGACATGTATCAATCACTGTAATATCATACAAAGTATTTTCACTGCTCTAAAAATCCTAAGTGTTCCACCTGTTCATCTCTTCTCCCTCCCCTAGTATGCCTCAACCTTTGACAACCACTGATCTTTTCATTGTCTCCATAGATTGCCTTCTCCAGAATGTCATATAGTTGGAATCACAGTATGTAGCCTTTTCAGACTGGCTTCTTTCACTTAGAATTATGCATTTAAGGTACTTCCATGTCTTTGTATGGCTTTATGACTCTTTTTTTTCCTGAATAATATCCCATTTTCTGAATGTTTCAGTTTATTTACCCATTCACCTACTGAAGGATATCAACCCAGCACTGACTGCAGGACTGACTTCCAATTGGTCGAGCCTCCGTCATTGCTGGTCTTTATATATTAGGATAAGTTCTTCATCAGACTTGCCTTTTGCAAATATTTTTTTTTTCTCAGTCTGTGGCTGTTCTCATCATTTCTGTAGCATCACACTCTATTAAACCACAGTTATGTAACTTCATTTATCTTTTTTTATTTTTCTCTCTCATACTTAGGACCCAACTTTGCCCAGTCCCAAGCCAACCAAAATTCAGACAAAAACCCCCAAGGCCAGAGGTAAGCAAGCCAGCTGGAAATGGGATATGTGTTATAGTTAAGGCAGGGTGAAAGCAGAGAGTGTAACGGGGCTGTAGGTAGCTGGAACTTACTGATTGTCTCAGATCCAAAACCTGAGAAAATGGCAGGACTCATGCTAGTGTCATTGGAGAATCTGTAGCGTCCTCATTTCTGTGTATTGAATTATAAAAATCTTAGGAATGAATGTTTTAAATTCTTAGCAAGAAGGATAACTTTCTAGAACCATGAGGAGAACCATGAGGAGAACCATGAGGAGAACCATGAGGAGAAGATGATGGGGGTGGGGGATAGGGGAGAAATATTGGGGAGGGGGGAGAAATTGAAGTAATTTACTAGATTAAGATTAGCAGAAGATGCAGGACAGAGACTTAAATGGGGGAGTCAATGGACCCTTGACAAGTTGTTAGAGAGAAATAAATGTTCTTCATGGTTGGGGGTGTGGGGTGATGCAGGAATAGCAGATGGACGAGATGGGACTCAGCAAAGGAAATCAGTGAAGAGATCTCTTGGAAATGAACCTGCAGCTGCTCCTATACCCATAATGGGAAGGAAAAAGGTGCATGGCAATTCAGATCCTGACCAGCCAGGTAAGGCTCTAGACTTTGGAAAAAGTTTGAGGAAATAGGGTTCATGTCTATATCTCCTCTCTCTGGATAATTTTAAAACAAGTCTATACTTTTTCATTACTTTAAAAAGAACAAACACTGCTCTGACCGGTTTGGCTCAGTGGATAGAGCGTCGGCCTGCTGACTGAAAGGTCCCAGGTTTGATTCCGGTCAAGGGCATGTACCTTGGTTGCGGGCACATCCCCAGTAGAAGGTGTGCAGGCGGCAGCTGATAGATGTTTCTTTTTCATCAATGTTTCTAACTCTCTATCCCTCTCTCTTTCTCTCTGTAAAAAGTAAATATATAAAAAAAGAACAAACACTGAACAAAATGGCATCTCTCAGATTGTAGAATGCAGTACATACTATCTATAGTAATAAAAGCATAATATGCTGATTAGACTGGACGCCCTTCCAGACATCCTTCCAGATGACCTTCTGGATGAAAACAGGGCTGCGAGGGAAGCCTGTGTCCCAGGTGCTGGAGGGAAGCCCGGGTCCTGGGTGCCAGAGGGAAGCTGGTGCCACAGCCAGGGAAGGAAGGCCTATTCTTGCACAAATTTCATGCATCAATCCTCTAGTAGGAACGTAATGGTTGTGGATTTGGTTTGATCCAGAGACCTGAGAATGATAAGGAGGAGGAACTAACATTTATTGAGTATTGTCATGCAATGGCTAGATAGATATGTCCATGTTATTCCCTTTCATTTTTTTTTTAAACGTCTCTATGGCTGGATATTTTCCATTTCAATTATAAGGAGATGGAGGCTCAAAGAGATTAAAATTTGCTTGTCTCATGTCTCTGTCATACGGTTAATCCATGGCTTGAATCCAGGTCTTTCTGACTCCAAAGCCCATTTCCTCCTATTGAGAAAGGTAATCTTTTCCAGAGTTTTAAAAAAAACATATTAACTTTAGAGTTTGATTTAAAAAAAATATATATTTTTATTGATTTTTTACAGAGAGGAAAGGAGAGAGATAGAGAGCTAGAAACATCAATGAGAGAGAAACATCGACTAGCTGCCTCTTGCACACCCCCTACCGGGGATGTGCCCGCAACCAAGGTACATGCCCTTGACCGGAATTGAACCTGGGACCTTTCAGTCTGCAGACCGATGCTCTACCACTGAGCCAAACCAGTTTCGGCTGGAGTTTGATTTGTAAAAGGTAAGGACAGATGATTTAATAAGATTCTCAGTTCTTTCACTTTTTTAATTTAGGTCCTGAGAAAAAATTTAAAGCTCCCCAAAGCAAGGCTTTGGTACCCAGCTTGTCTGAAGAAAATGAAGTTATAATAGTGCCCGAGGGCCTGATCCTACCAGCTCATCACAAGGCCTGTCCTGCCATGGGGAAAGAAGAGCCTGGACTTCAAGAACTTCAGGAGGCTGGACTCTTCCCTCCTGACGATGAAGCCTCCAGTGACCTTGACCTTGAGCAACTCATGGAAGATGTTGGGGAAAAGCCAGAGCAGGGGGTGGAGCTGCAGCATGGAGATGACATGGAGGACTTCATCTTCTTTGAGGAGTAGTTCTGTGCTCTTGTGTTCTCATCCCTCTTCCCTGAGAGTAGGAGGGAGAACCTCTCAAACGGCCCCGGAGAATTATGGGATTGGCCATTGACTACAAAATTAATTTGCTGAAGTTAGAGTTGTATGGTTTATGTGTTAATAAAATAGGTTACTGGCTTAATTGGTTTGGTTTGTCTCTTAACCACACGCTTCCTTTTGGCTTCTCTCCCTCCTCTATGTCATTTTTTCTTCTGTGAGGCCTGCACAGCATAGGAATCTGGGAAGGCAATGACCCCTGAGTTCTAGATGAAGGGCATAGAAAAGGGCAGGACTGGATTCAAATCCTGTCTCACCATTTACTAGCTGTGTGGCCTTAGGAAAAGCACTGAAGCCATCCTGGTTCTTTGTTTCATGTCTCAAATGAGTATATCCAATACGGTATAGGGTTGTTAACATTTATTTATTTATTTATTTATTTATTTATTTAATTTATTTATTTTAAATATATTTTATTGATTTTTTACAGAGAGGAAGGGAGAGAGATACAGAAACATCAATGAAAGAGAGTCATCGATCAGCTGCCTCCTGCACCCCCTTACTGGGGATGTGCCTGTAACCAAGGTACATGCCGTTGGCCAGAATCAACCCAGGACCTTTCAGTCCGCAGGCTGACGCTCTATCTACTGAGCCAAACCAGTTTCGGCTGGGTTGTTAACATTTAAATGAGGTAATGCATAATAATACATGCCAGTTATCATTTTCCAGGGAGTAGAGTGGTTAGACCAGGGGGCAGACCTTGGGTTCCAGGCTGTCTACCCGTGTTTGGTAACTTATTGTTTCCAGGCCCGAAGCAGTCCCTGAACTAGAGGAGGGATCTTGGGCGTGAGCTATCTATTGTAGCTCATTTTTGGAAACAAGGACAGAAGTTGGAGACATCAATTTTTTTCTTAGATGCATTCAGGCAAATCCTACAGGTACTTTTATTTTTTGTGGGCAAGGGAACGAGGTGAAGAGGGAACTGGAGCACATGGCTATTTTTCTTAGGTCCTTTGACCCCTGTGGCTTCTGAGTCATCTGTGTTTGACATCTTAGCCCTGGGAGGAGGACATCAAGAAGAGAAGGAGTGCCAAAACCGGTTTGGCTCAGTGGATAGAAAGGCCTGCGGACTGAAAGGTCCCGGGTTCGATTCTGGTCAAGGGCATGTACCTTGGTTGTGGGCATATCCTCAGTAGGAGGTGTGCAGGAGGCAGCTGATTGATGTTTCTCTCTCATTGATGTTTCTAACTCTCTATCCCTCTCCCTTCCTCTCTGTGAAAAATTAAGAAAATATATATTAAAAAAAAAAAGGAAGAGAGAAGGAGTAAATTCAAATCCTGGCTCGCTATTTGCTAGCTATGTGGGCTTGGGAAAAGCACTGTAACCATTCTGGTTCTTCATTTCATGTCTCAAATCAGTACATCCTATGCCATATAGGGTTGCTTATGTTTAAATGAGGTGATGCATGTAAAGGCTTAAATGATGTCAGTTATTATTGCAAGGGAAGTAGAGTGGTTAGGCTGGAGGGCAGCCTTGGGTTACAGGCTGCCTAACAGTGTTCAGACACTTGCAGTCACTGAACAGAAGCACTAGAGAAGGGATCTTGGGCATGAGCTATGTATTGTAGTTTATTTTTGGCAAGAAGGACAGAAGCTGAAATCAATTTTTTTTTTAGACGCATGCAGACAAATCCTACAGGTACTTTTATTTTTGTCAGCAAGGGGACGAGGTGAAGAATGGAACAGATGGCTATTTTTCTTAGGTCCTTGGTGGCCTTCGACCCCTGTGTCTGGCTGGGATTATTATGGGAAGTGGTGATCCCTCTGTGCAGCTTACTCTAAGGAGGTCATCATTCAGTCTTTAAGATAGAGTATAGGGTCTCTTCCTGGGGGCTCTCGTGGAGAAGGTGGCGAGGAGGTGCTGACGGTGAGGGTGAGGTCAAATTGGAGAGGGTAAGCGAGGCATAGAGGATGCCATCAACCTGTGTGGGAACAGAAAGAGAAGGGGGTTAGAAGTGGAGGGGGAGCTGACCTCATCTCACATGAGTGACCTCATACCTGAGTGCCCCGCTGATCCCTCCGTCCCTCTATTCTTTCCACCCCTTCTTCTCCAAGCTTCTCTTTAATTCTTTCAGGCTCTAGTCTGAACTTCTTACCTTTGGGTCCGACTTGGAGTTTCTATGTAGTCCTAAAAAAAAAAAAAAAAAAGTGCCAGGATCAGAGCATGGCAGCCAGGGGAGAGAAATGGGCAGAGGGCTCAGTAGTGAGGTCATCTGCTAGGTCAGGACCAGGGTCCGGGGGAGGGAGGGGTGAGGCATGGGAAAGAGGAAAACGCTGGGGGCACGTGTGGGGAGAGAGTGTAAGGAAGAAGGAAGGGCCAAGGTGGAGAGCGGGGAGTGGTCGTGGTAGAACTGACCTTTATGCCCAATGTTCTCGTTCTCCTCCTCAGCGTTAGGGAAGGATCCCCTGCGTGGGAAGGAAAGGGTGGGAAGTGGGTTAGAGGCTGGGCAGAAAGGAGTAAAACCTGCATCAGGCTGGTTCTCTTGGGGGCTCTGTGACCTGCTTGGACCGACTCAGAAGATGTAGGCAATGGTTTGAGGCTCTCAGAGGAGGCTGCCTGGACGAGTCTGAGAGGCAGTTTGTGGTGTAGCCCTGAGTGCCCCCTGAAGCAGGACTGTTGTAGGAAGGGCACCGGAGGGGAAACCGGAGGGTGGATTCCTGTCCTCTCTGCTGGCGCTGCCTCTGTAAGAGCTGGAGAAGGAGAACAGTGACGCCATCTCACAGCCTTTGGGTGGGTGTCAGGCCTTGGTCCCCAGGAGGAGACACCGTCCTGGGATGGGACCTGAGTAAGGCAGCTGGCAAAAGGCAGGGAGGGAGGAAAGATGGGAGGGGGTTTAGGAAAGGGGAAGTGTAGAAATGGGAGGAAGGATGGAGAAAAGGAAACTGGTGGGAGGGTGAGGAGGACCAGTGCTCAGGGCAGGAAGGAGATCCCAGCACAGAGGAGAGGAGGCCAGGCTGGGAGCTGAGGGGGAAGGTGCTCTGAGAAAAGGCAGAAGGTAGAGCAGCTGGAGGCAGATGACTCTGTGGCCATTATGGGTGCCTCACCAGGAGAAAAGGCAGATTGGACGATGAGCGAGAAAGAAGAAAACATGTGGAACAGGAAGACGTGGGAAGGTTCCAGGTGGAAAGAAAACAGGGTGAACAGAAGGAAAAGCTGAGAAAGGGCCATGAAAGGAGGAGAAAGGGGTTTCCAAAGAAAGAATTACAGAAACTGCTGGGCCCCTCGGTCCCCTGTTCTTGGTGTTTTGGTTTGTTTGCTTTTGAGGAGCCAGAGCCGCAGGACATGCAGAGCCTAACCTGTTGGGGACACCCGAGGGTGCGGATGGTAATGTGAAAGCGGAGGGTGAGAGCAGCTGTGAAAGATGCCCTCACACTGTTCTCATCAGGACCCCTCCAGTTTCCCAAACCAGCACCCCACCGGAGCACAGGCACTCACCTGTCTGGGGCTCTTGCTGTTTTTCCACCTTGAGCATCATCCTTCTCACATTTAGTCTGCAGACCTGCAGAGGGACCACAGCAGGTCAGCGTGCCATCCACGCACAGCATCTCTCCTGCCCTCTCTGCTCCATCCTACTCTGAGACCGCCCTCGGATAAACCAGGGCAGCAGAGCAGCTCTGCTGAAACCCAGGCTGGGAGGGCCTAGGACTCAGAGTGGCACCAGCTGGCATCCTGAGGCGGCCCCACCTCTCCTGCTTTTGTCCTCAACACCAAGTCAGGAGAGCAGCTCTTCTCTGCACCCTGTGTCCCCTCGCCCTGCCCTCTCTTCCTAACTTTCCCTCTGCTTCATTCCACTCTCCTTGAACTCCTTGCAATCCCCCAACCTTCTCCTTCCACTGCTGAACCCGGCCCACCTTCTCTCCTCCTCCCCCATCTTGTCACAGGCACCATCGCTCCTCCTGCTGTGACAAACCAGCCTCTGATGCTTTCCTTGGAGCGCTGCCTGTTTCTCTCTCCCACCTCTGAAGCTCAGGGCTGGAATCTGTGTACACTGCAGCCTGTTCTCTCTTCCACCGAGGACTCTGCTGTTCTTCCCCACATCCCTGCACTCTCCCCCTCCCCCTCCCTCTCAAGTCTCTCCGGCATTTCCCAAGCATTGGGCCCTGGTCCACATACATCCCTCCACCAGGGCCACCTTCCTGTGAGGTCTGCCATCCACAGGGACAATCCTCTCAGGCACTGACTCGCCCATCCCCCAACTCCAGTGACCTCCACTCCCCTCCGCCCCCATGCCCTGGACATTATTTTTTTAATCACTGGGAAAGAAAACTCTGAAATATTACATGCTAGTATTATTTTTATGCTGTAGCTCTCTTTCCTCCCAGCTCTCTTTTGTCCTCACTCCCCTCCCCCCCCCCCCCCCCCCCCCCGCAACACACCTGTGCTTTGACCTCCCTGAACTCTTGTCCCCTGATAATCCACTTTCTTTCAGGTTATCCAGGCTGACTCAGAGTCCCCCATTCTCCATTGGTGCCCTTTCACCAGCTTCTTGACCTCCTGATTCCCCTGTCAGGCCACACTGAGCTGACAACTCGCCAATCCTGCATGTGTCCTTGGCAGTGGTTCTCAACCTTTCTAGTGCCTCGACCCTTTACTACAGCTCCTCATGTTGTGGCGACCCCCAACCATAAAAGTATTTTCGTTGCTACTTCATAACTGTAATTTTGCTACTGTTATGGATTGTAATGTAAATATCTGTGTTTTCCGATGGTCTTAGGTGTAGTAAAGGGTTGAGGCACTAGAAAGGTTGAGAACCACTGGTCTATGGCATGGAATGTTGCTTGCTTATCCAATATGCATTCATCTCCTCTTACTCAGTTACAGAGCCTTGATTTTATTTGGAGTGGCAGTGTGCTCCCTTATAGATAGGTGTGGGACATATTATTAAATTCTGGCCAATAAGATATAAGGGAACATATGGATAGGACTTCCAAGAAGGCTCCTGGACTATATCACATTTTTTTCTTCATCTCTGACCCTTATCCTTACTGTCAGGAGAACAGATAACTGGAGTATAGTCTTTTGTCCTTTCCTTCTTCCTTCTGTTTCCCATTTAGATTCAGAAATAATGGCTGGAATCTTTGCAGCCACCTTGGATCATGAGGCAGCCCTCAGGATAGAATCCTAAACAGGACAGTTAGCAGAAAGGTAGGAACCTGAGTGCCTAAGGACTGGTTTCCTGTGCTGCCTGCCTCCAGTTCCTTTTATTTATTTATTTTTAAAAATATGATTTTAGTTATTTCATAGAGAGAGGGAGAGGAAGATGGAGATAGAAATATCAGCGATGAGACAGAATCATTGATTGGCTGCCTTCTGCACACCCCCACTGGGGACCGAGCCCACAACCCGGGCATGTGCCCTGACCAGGAATTGAACCATGACCTCCTGGCTCATAGGTCAAAGCTCAACCACTTAGCCACACTAGCAGGGCTTTTTTCATATGAGAGGGGAAAAAGCTCTCCTGTATGTAAACTTGTGGTCTCTGGAGCTAGCAGTGAACACAACCCCAAACCAATGAGTCTTAAAGGCTTCTAAACTGCATGGCTGAATACTGGTGTGGAAAATACAGGTATGTGCAATGATACTTTCACAGGTTTATGGCTTCATGCCTGAGTCAGATCCTTAAACACTACCAACCACTTCCTCAGTGACTATATTACATTTTTCTCTTCATCTCTGACCTTCACCCTCATTGTCAGGAGTAACCACTGTGGTATTTTCCTTGAAGAATTAAAAAAAAAAAATCCCTATTTTTATGCAGTTGAATTTATCAATATTTTTGTTTATTATTTTTTGGTTTTATATCATACTTAGGGAGGTCATCTCCACTCCATGCTTCCAGCACTTTGGATTGAATTACTCATTTCCCCCCATTGATTACATTTAATATACTAAATTCTTGCATATATTTGGGTCTATTATTATTCTGCCTATATTTTGAGTTTTTCTTTTCTTCCATTACTTTAACTTTTATCTGTTTGTTTATTACGTATTGCAGCTACTCTAAATGCATTATGTTTAATTGTTATGACAACCCTGGGGTAATTACTAATATTATACCCATTTGCCGAAACCAGTTTGGCTCAGTGGATAGAGCGTCGGCCTGCGGACTGAAAGGTCCCGGGTTCGATTCCGGTCAAGGGCATGTGCCTTGGTTGTGGGCACATCCCCAGTGGAGGGTGTGCAAGAGGCAGCTAATCGATGATTCTCTTCATCGATGATTCTAACTCTCTATCCTCTCTTCTTCTCTGTAAAATATCAATAAAATATATTAAAAAAAATATTATCCCCATTTTACTGATGAGTAAGTTGAAGCACAGAGTAATAGTACCACTATGCCAGAGTTGACCCAGCTGAGATTGATTGCAGGCAGTCAGATTTTATGCTCTTCATCTTTGTGCTTTAATATTTAAGAGGGCAGGCTGGCCAGTGTTGCTCAGTGGTCTATTACATATGAACCAGGAGGCCATAGTTCAATTCCTGGCAAGGGTTGTGAGCTCCATCCCCAGTGTGGGGTGTGCAAGAGGCAGCCAATCAATGATTCTCTCTCGTTATTGATGCTTCTCTTTCCTCTGAAATCAATAAAAATATAAAAGAATAACTAAGAGGGAAAAATCTTGTAAATTTTTAAAACATAATTTAAAATCAATTTTGGATGCTGTTGGGGCATAAATAATTAATGCCTCTAACCATGCTCTCTCTTTGAGCTGTAAATGCAAACATTCAAATTTCTGATGGACATCTCTACTCACCTGCCCACATGGGTATCTGAAATATAACATATCCCAAACTAGAGGAATCATTTTTCTCCCCCAAATAAGGCTTTGACTTGCTCTGGTCCCTAATTCACTTGTTGGTTTCATGATAGCCTCACTCCCTCTAGTTGCAAACATGGGACTTCTTCCCGCTTCCTTGCTGCTGCATCAACCCAATCATCAAGTCTTATTGGCTCCCTCTTACCCTTTTCCAGAATCTGACTTTCTCCACAGACCTATGTATCTGCAAGGTGAAGTGTGTATCTATACACTTAAATATGGTTAAAATGGTAAATTTTGTAGTGTGTGTCTTTTGGCACAATAAATTTTTTGGTGCCTCCTCCATAGCACTGAATTACTTTTGGTTCCCAGAATGGTTTTCTGTGCTTGGAAGAACAGTGATCTCTATACCACCCTTGCCACTTCCCTGGCAAATTCTTCTTTAGTCTTTGAGACTTTGCAGATATTACTTCTTCTGGAAAGTCCTTCCTGGTTTCTCTCCTTCCTTCCAATCTATCATAGTTCTTTCCAAGTGAGGCAATTAGCCCTTGAAAGACCTCCTGCTCCCTCTGAGTTCCTTGATAGCAGCGACTCTGCTTTATTTACTTACTAGAGGTCTGATGCACAAAAATTGTGCATGGTAGGGTCCCCAGGCCTGGCGGGCAATCAGAGCTGATCAGGGCCTTCCAGCTGCCAGCTGGGGCCTTTCTCCATTCTGCACCACACCCCAGTCAGTGCATGTCATAGTGAATGATCGAACTCCCAGTCTCCTGGTCAAACTCCCGAGGGGACACTTTTCATATTAGCCATATATATATTTGCCTTTTATTTATATATATTTGCCTTTTATTTATATATATTTGCCATATATATATATATATATATATATATATATATATATATATAACTCCAGTCATAAGCCAGATCCTGGAAATGGGGTATCCTATTAATGTTTGCTAAACTAAGCAACTTTCTGTCCCATCTGCTCTCTCCTTACTTTTCTCAGGGCAGATCCTCTCCTCCCCATGATCCAAAAGGTGAGGACTAATGATAAATTGTTAAGTCAAGAACCAAGAACTGGAAAAATGATCAGATTTGTGGAGAGAGGTTTGTCTGGAGTGGTGGTTCTCAAACGTGATTACTCACAGACACCACTTGAGGAGAATGCTAATACCACTTGAAGTCCAGACCTCACCCCAATAAGATTTTGCAATTTTAACAGCCTCCTGTGTTCATTCTGATGCAGGTGGCTTCAGAGAAACATCCGGTTGGGAAGATTCTAGAGAGAAGTGGAGTCTCTGACCACTTACCTTTGCTTCTCCTCCACCTGAAGTAAATTATCAATCCCAAAATTGCAATTATGAGCACGGCACCCGCCAGTGCCACCCCAATGATCGCTCCTTGAGGCAGGGGCCCAGACCCTGAGACACTGTGGCCACCTGTGGTGCTGGTGGTGGTGGTGGGGATGGTGGTGCTGGTGGGGTCCATGGTGGTGGCTGAGGAGACATGAGAAACAAGCAAAATCTTCCTTAGAGGATTGGAGGTATCTGAGTGAAGCTGTCACATCTGTTCTCTAGTTGGAGGAACACTGGGGTGGGGAGCAGCCCTCGAAGCTCTCACACGAGGAAGGGGTTAACAAGGTGAAATGCTGAAGTCTTATCACATCCATCATCCAGTTCAAATCCTGAACCTTCCACCGATTATTGGTGTGACCTCAGAACCTCATTTCATCACCTACAAATAGGGATAACTAGATCACAGGTCTTAAACAAAAATTTATCGTGGTAAAAGACGCACAACATAAAATTTACCATTTTAACCATATTTAAGTGTGCAGTTCCGTGGCAGTGAGTAATTTATATCGTTGTGCAACTCTTACCCTCAGCATCTCCAGATCTTTGTCATCTTCCCAAACTGGAAATCTCCCTATTAAATAACTTCCCGTTACCCTCACCCCAGCCCTGACACCCACCATTCTACTGTCTGTGTCAAGGAGTTGACTGCTCTAGTTACTTCATATGAGTAGAATCGAAGACTACTTGTCTTTTGCAGGATTGTTTTAATAAGTGAGAAAACAGAAGATGGCTGCTCGGGTAGGCACCTAGCCGCGCCGCACGCAACAATTTCAACAAAATACAACTAAAATATAAAATGGACATCACCCAGAACTACAGGAAAGTTGACTGACTGGAAATTCTACAACGAGAAGCAAGGAGAAAACCAGAAGGAAGCGCGGAGGAGCTGGAAAAGCCTAAGGTACGGAGACACGCGGCGCGCGGAGAGGACGGAGCCGGAGAGGAGGGAGGCCGAGTGCCTGGCGGGCGTTCCCTGGCGGGAAGGAGATAAATGCTCTGACTGTGCTGGGCCCCCATTCTGACTGCTCTGAACCCCAGGCCTAGGCCAGACCCCGGGGACCCAGGCTCACACAGAGGGAGCCGGGCTGAAAGGCGGAACCCCGGGGAAGAGGCGAAAGGAGGTCCCGGCGGCGCCGCGCAGAGAAGGGCCGGCCGGCTGTGCCGCGGGATTGCCTGGCGGGAAGGAGACAGGGGCGCCAGACTGCTCTGAACGCCACCTCCAACTCCACTTCCAACTGAACTGAACCCCAGTTTCGGGACCATTGGGGGAGAGACTAGACTGTTTGGTAGCAGGCGATCCAGGGCGCCTTTCTCTCAGAGGCGCTTACAACAAGTACTGAAGGACCCTGAGTCTCAGGAGTCGCATAGGGCGGGGCTGACAGAAGCCAAAGCTGTAGGCTCCACCCTGAAACCCCGCCCCATCAGGAAAGCTGCCTGCGAAAATGCCTAAACCAAATAGATCACAAACGAAAGAAATGGAGGACAAAAAGCGACTGGATATAGAGTTCAAAACCACACTTATAAGGTTTTTCAAGAGTTTCCTAGAAAAGGCCGATAAAATAAATGAGACTTATGAGGATATGAAAAGGGATCAACAAGAAATAAAGAATACATTGTCTGAAATAAAAACTATTATACAGAGTCCTAAAAACAGAATAGAAGATCGCAAGAATCAAGTCAAAGATTTGGAACATAAAGAGCCAGAAGATACTCCTCCGCAGAAGCTAGAAGGCAAGAGAATCCAGAAAATTGAGAATCAAGTCAAAGATTTGGAACATAAAGAGCCAGAAGATACTCCTCTGCAGTCGCTAGAAGGCAAGAGAATCCAGAAAATTGAAGATGATGTAAGAAACCTCTGGGACAACTTCAAACGATCCAACATCAGAATTATGGGGGTCCCAGAAGATGAGAGAGAGCAAGATATCGAAAACATATTGAAAGAAATAGTGACAGAAAACTTCCCCCACCTAGGGAAAGAATTGGACTTACAAGTCCAGGAAGCACACAGAACTCCAAATAAAAGGAATCCAAAGAGGACCACACCAAGACAAATCATAATTAAGATTCCAAGAGCAAAAGACAAAGAGAGAATATTAAAAGCAGCAAGAGCTAGGCAGGTAGTTACCTATAAAGGAGCACCTATACGATTGTCAGCTGACTTCTCAACAGAAACCATGCAGGCCAGACGGGAATGGCAAGAAATATTCAAGGTGATGAATAGTAAGATAATCTATCAGCCAAAGATAATCTATCCAGCAAAGCTATCACTCAGATTCGAAGGTCAGATAAAGAGCTTCACTAATAAAAAAAAGCTAAAGGAGTTCATCACCACCAAACCAGAATTATATGACTTGCTGAAGGGGGTTCTTTCAGAAGAGAAAGTAAATAAAGATAAAAATTATGAACAACAAATACATAACTATCAACAAGTGAATCTAAAAACCAAGGAAATTTAAAAAAAAATCTGAGGAACAATATTAACTGTTGAATATAATAGAATCAGAGGTATGGAAGGGGAATGAACTGATGATTCTTGGGGAAAAGGGGAAAGGGGGATGTGGGAAGAGACTGAACATAAACTGTGCACCTATGAATGAGGACAATGGGGGGTGGGGAAAGGGCAGAGGGTGGGGTGGGAAGGGGGGGAAGGGACATTTGTATTAATATGAACAATAAAAATTAAGGGAAAAAAATAAAAATAAAAAAAGAGACCGTTAAAAAAAAAATAAGTGAGAAAACATCTGTAAAGCACCCAGTACATACTGGAAATATGTTTTTAAAGCGACATTAGTTTATATTGAACTTTAGCTTCTACACACAGTATACCTTTGTAGGTTTTTTAAAAAAAGATATATTTTATTGATATTTTACAGAGGGGAGGAAGGGAGAGAGATAGAGAGCTCAAAACGTCGATGAGAGAGAAACATCGACCAGCTGCCTCTTGCACACCCCCTACCGGGGATGTTCCTGCAACCAACGTACATGCCCTTGACCGGAATCGAACCTGGGACCTTTCAGTCCGCAGACTGACGCTCTACCACTGAGCCAAACCGGTTTTGGCACCTTTGTAGATGTTTAATGTATCATTAAAAAACTGATAATAAGTACTAAGGCACAGGAAAAAATTTAACTCTAATAAAATCTTTAGGTTAGCATGGGTCAAACTCTGTCTACTCTTGTTAGAAATTAATACAGGAGACACAGAGAAGGTACAGGAAGAATAAAACTAAGCCTGTGTATGTAATTCAGGTTGTGAGCCACTTAATAAATTATCTAAAACCAGCTCTGTGGTCAAGACAGGGCAGTGGGTTTGCCCAGGCTGGGAGGAGTGATTCATCACTGCCATAGTTAAAGTTGCCAGCACAAGTAAATCGAGCCCAGCCAGGTGTGGCTTGGCGATTGAGCATCGACCCAGGAACCAAGCGGTCACCAGTTTGATTCCTGGTTGGGGGCATATGCCTGGGTTGCAGGCTCGATCCCCAGTGTGGGGCATGCAGGCGGCAGCCAATCAATGATTCTCTCTCGTTATTGATGTTTCTATTTCTCCCTCTCCTTTCCTCTCTGAAATCAATAACAAATATATATATATAAAAAAGTAATTTGGCTTACCATGCACCCCTTTATGCTGGGGCCTGGGAGAGAGCCCCTCCCCCACTAACCTGGAGACAGATAAGCCACACCTTCTCCCCTTCAAGTTCCCCCATCCCGGTGAGTAATATAGGAAGATCTATTAACAAAGCACACCCCATAGTGGGTTAATATAGGTCAAGACAACAAGATGATCCAGTCAGTAGGTGAGACTGAGTGGCGAATGGTTGAGAGAGGACTGGGGAGGGAGCATTGAGGGTCATGTTCTGGGAAGCAGGGAGATTGGGACAACAGGTGCTGGGGTGTTACCAGGGGCTGAGGGGAGGGTGCGAGTTCCTTGGGCCGCTGTTGGGCCCTCCTGTGTGTGTGAGGCTGAGCTCATGGCTGTGGGGGACACTGACAGGGGCCAGCGGGGGCTCCACCTACAGACACAGGACAAAGGAAAGGCAGGCCACATGCTGTAAAAGTCAAGGCCACCTGGAGGGCATGGGGTGAAGGCAGGAGGCAGGGCCGCAGCCCCACTTGGAGCAGGAAGGGAGGATAACCAGGTGGGAGGCGCTGAGGCCTGGGGGTGGGGTAGGGGCTGGGTCTGGAGGGGGCAGTGAGGAGGATGGGCAAGGAAGGCAGCCCGAGTTTGGGGGAGAAGAAGGTGAAGAAGGAGAAGCTGGCAGAGGCCTGGGAAGCAGGCGGGGGCAGGGAGAGGAGTCTGAGAGAAAGGTCGGGAAGAGAGGAGCCTGGACCAGTCCTGGGGGACGAGGGCCCCAGGGGCCGGGGCGGTGGGACTCACCTTTGGTGATGGTGAGGTGGGTCCCGTTGATGGACTGCCACACCTTCTCGCCATCTTTCCGTGTGGTCAACCGGACTCGGAAGAAGTAGTTACTCTCATCCTCTCTCCGCAGGTTAGAGATCCGGAGGGAGCCACTCGTCTGGCCCTTTGTCCAGTTCAGAAAGAGGCGGTTTTTAAAATTCTTATGGGTGAACGGCAGGGTTGTGTTGTAGATGAACTCTCCATGGAAGTGTTTCCATCGCCAGGATATACGCACGTTGGGATCGCTGGCTAACTCCCAGGAGTAGCAGAAGGAGAAGGGGATGTTGATGGAGCCACCCTCAGGGGCTGAGAGGTGCTCTGGTTGGTAGACTCCATGGGTAGGGTTTAACTCGCATTCTGCTGAGCCACCTGGAGGAGGGAGGGAGGGACTTTGAAGCCACTTGGAGGGACCAAGAAGCTAACCCCGGCCCATCTGGCACCCTCACCTACGGGCAGAAGTGGGACAGATCATAGGACTGTCCCTCTGGCTGGGTGTCCCCCTCTCCAGGCTTGGGTAGAAAGGAGGGTGAGGGATGTAAGGGACCCGCCCAGCCCATTGCTTGTTGCAGGTGGGAAGCCTGGCTGGCCACAGCCCCTCCCGGGCTCCCCTGGGGCCCTGTCAGCCAGGGCGTCCTGGCCACTCACCAGCCTGCAGAGAAGCTGCCGGCAGCAGGGGCAGCAGCAGGGGCAGCAGCGGGGGCAGCAGCGGGGGCGGACCCATCGCCTTGCTCTCCTGGGCGGTGAGACAACAAGCAGAGCTAGCGGAGGGCAGGCTCGGTGGAGGGGCTGCCTCAGGCTAGTCTGACCACGGGGAGGGCAGGATCAGGCTCCTTCCAAGGACTGGGGGGTGGGAGCCTTCCCCAAACAGCCTGCCCCAGAAGGAGCAGCACTTCCTTTTACAATCTGGCTTCTTCTTTTCTGACATTGCAGAAGAGCTTCCCCTGTGGTCAGTGACCAAGAGCCATGATATGGGCCCCCCAGGCCCCATCGTCATGCTGGCAGGTGTGATCCTGACCTTGGCTGCCGGGGCCTCTCCCTCCCGCCTCAGCTCCCTGTCTCTGCCAGGGACTTTCTCATCTCCTTGGGAGTCAGTCCCATCTCTCTGTCCCTCACTCCCTCTCCTTTTCTTTGCTTCTCTGAGCGCCTCTCAGCCTGTTTCTCTCACTGCGGGGGAAGGGGCAGCAGCAGGACCAGCTCAGGCTCTTTCAGGAGAGGAAAAGCAGCCAGGAGTATGTCCAGCCTCAGCCCCCGGGAGAGGAGGAGGGAGGCGCGGGTGGAGATGCCCTCCACCCCAGGGGCATCCAGCTGGCTCTTGGGCCCTCGCCCTCCCCCGCAGTTCACGGGCAGAAACAAGTCCCACGGGCCCCAGTCTGTTCCCTCTGCATTCACACCCTCGCTGGGATTGGGAGGTGAGTGTGGGCTTTCTGGAGGCCATGCCTTTACCCACAGAACTCAAGTGTGGATCTGAGGGCCCTCTGACTTCACCCCTTCACGTGTGAGACAACCAAGGCTCAGAGAGGGTGAGCCCAAGTCCATGGCCCTCAAGTGGTGGGTCCAGGACTGGATCCTCACTCTTGCTGAATCCCAGAGCCTTCTGGGTGCCGGATGCTGGTTGCACCAGAGCCTCTAGGCCTCGGCACCAGACGCAGAGCTCTGAGGTGAGCCGCAGGAGGCTGTGCTTTTGTAAAGCTCCTTAGATGGTCCTGTCCACCGCTGTGGGAGCCCTGGCTAATCCAGAGTCTTCCCTGGCCGAGGGGGTTAAGGCTCAGAGCAGTAATGGGGTCACCCAGCGACAGCCCCTGGGACCACCCCTACTGGAGGGCACTGCCAGCCTGTGGCGGGTGGTGAACTGGACCTTTGGTGACTCACAGGAGGCTCTGCCCATGGCCTCCCCAGAGTGACCTTGGCATCAACTTGCTGAGTAGACTGTGGGAGTGGGTGGACATGACTGCATCAGAGGAAGTGACCTTGATTGGAATCGAACCTGGGACCTTTCAGTCCGCACATCTACCCTCTATCCACTGAGCCAAACCGGTTTCAGCCCAACTTCCTTTTCAATCAGTTTCTTCCCCTTTTCTCCCACAGCCAGCCAGGCAGCCCGCCCCTCTCTGTGTCTGCTTTTCATACCCTTCCTGCCAGGCCTGGGAAAGAGGTTTCACATTTGTAAGGAGGCTCTTATCTGACTCAGTCACAAAACATCATTGCCTCATTTCAGCTTTACAACGTTCTGTGGGGGTGTTGTAATCTCCATTTACCCACAGGGAAGCTGAGGCGCAGAGCTTAAGGCCCTTCTGTCCTCTGGGCTGTGAAAGATGCTGGGTGGCCTGGCCAGCGTGCTCAGTGGTTGAGCATCAACCTATGAACCAGGAGGTTTGGGTTTGATCGCCACTCAGGGCACATGCCCGGGCTGTGGGCTCAATCCCCAGTGTGGGGCGTGCAAGAGGCAGCCGATCAATGAGTCTCTCTCATCATTGATGTTTCTATCTCTCTCTCCCTCTCCTATTCTCTCTGAATTCAATTAAAAAAATTTTAATTAAAAAAAAAATAAAATCTCAATTTAAAACTTGAGCTAAATATTTGAATAGATGTTTTGTAAAAGCAGATAGATGAGTAACTAATAAGCATGAGAAGATGGTAATACCATTAGTCATTGGGGAAATACAAGTGACCACCACCATGAGGTGCCATCAAACACCTGGTAAATGACTAACATTGAAGGGCGGACCAGACCACCTGTCCGCAAGGATGTGGAGCAACCAGAACTCTCAGACACCACGGGTGTGTGTGTGTGTGTGTGTGTGTGTGTGTGTGTGTGTGTGTGAAATGGCACCATCACGTTGGCCGTTGCGTAAAAGTTAGGCACACACCTAACATATGACCTAGTCATACCGCTCACCGGTATGGCAGTGCTGACCAGCCAGGCCAGCACCACCTGGGAACTTGTAAGACATGCTCACTCTCAGGTCCCACCTTGACTGCTGAAGTTGAGAACCACCAGAGTTTGACTGAGGGCCTTGTGTGCTCCTTTAATTTTCACAGCGATTCTGTGAGATGCAGGAATTTCATTCTCACCTCACAGAGAGAGAAACAGACACTCCAAGAGTTTCCCGCTCTCCAATCTCCTCTCTTCCTCTGGCGTGTGAACCACCCTCAGGTCTATGTGCCTCGTGAGCTGGATGCTTAAGCCAATGATTGCTCCCAGACCCTCACAGCTCATCCTCCCTCCCTCCCTCCCCTCTCCTCCCACAGCCTTTCGCAGAGAACGTTGATCATTGTGCCTCGTTCAGCTGCTGCTCACCAAGGTCTGGGGAAGCAAAGAGTGCGGTCCCTGAGGTGGGGCAGGCCCGGGAGCCATGGCCCAGTGACACGCCGTCTCTGAGGGACAGGGAGGAGGAGAGACTCAGGGGACAGTCTTGGTCCCTGGCCTTCCCCATAGTCTGTGCCTCTGCTGACGTCACCCTCTTTACTTCCCCTGTTTTCCCTCAGGGCAGGGGACCCGAGAGGGTTCATCCTGGCCCTGGGGGGGTGCAAGCCTGCAGTGAGCCCTCCAGGAATCAGAGTCCAGCTGGGAAGGGAAGACTCGCCATGTGACACACGTAGAGGGAGGCCCAGACCCCAAGTTAGAGCTGAAACTGGCAAGGATGACCCTCCCACTCTCTGGGTGCCAGGAGGCTTGCAATTGTATTAAAGATGTTTTCTTAGTCACTGTATCCTTTTTAATGTTTCTTTAATTTTTTAAATTTATTTTTGAAAGTATTACAGATGTCCCCTTTGCTTTTTGTTTTTTTTCCCCATTGACCCCCTCCGCCCCACACCGGCCCTCCTTAGCCTTTGCCACATTACTGTCTGTGTCTCTGGGCTATAAACTCCTCACCTCTCACCCCATCTTCCTTCTGAAATTCATCAGGCTGTTCATGGTCCTATGTCTCTGGATCTATTTTCTTCATCAGTTTATTTTCTTCATTAGATTCCACATATGAGTGAGATCATGTGATCCTTATCTTTCTCCTACTAACAATATATTAAAAAGGCCAAATGGGATTTATTCTGGGGATGCAAGGCTGATACAATATTCACAAATCAACAAATGTGATACATCACATAAACAAATTGGAAAACAAAAATCACATGATCATATCAATTGACGTAGAAAAAACATTCGATAAAATCCGACACCCTTTTTTTGATGAAAACTCTCAGTAAAGTGGGAATAGAGAAATCATACCTCAACCTAATAAAGGCCATATATGACAAACCTCCAGCCAACATCATTTTCAAGGGGCAAAAAACGAAAACCATTTCCCCTGAGAACAAAAATGATTGCTGTTTTCTTTGTTGTTTTTAAAAAATATTTTTTATTGATTTCAGAGAGGAAGGGAGAGAGAGAGAGAGAGAAAAGTCAATGATAAGAGAGAATCATTGAAGGGTTGCCTCCTGCATGCCCCACACTGGGGATTGAGCAGGTGACCTGACCAGGAATTGAACCATGACCTCCGAGTTCAAAGGTCGATGCTCAACCAGCCTTTGATATTTGCTGTATCCTTGATGCTCTGACATCCAGGGCCTCACTGACCAGGAAGAGATTGCTCCTCCCAGGGCTGTCCGATTCTCAGACTCAGCAATGGACTTGCCGAGGACCAGGCCTTTCATATGCAAGCCTCCAAGTCCAGAGCTGCGACTCCATCCACCTCCTCTCTCTGGCTCGTGGGCTCCCGGAGGCTAATATTCGGCTACTTTGGCACCCAGGGCCATCCAGACACCAGACAGCGCGGGACAGCCCTGATCCCCGGGGCCTGCAGAGACCATTCAAACTGGCCACTCCCAACCCTGCTCTCCCTGCCAGGCTTCCCTTCCCACGGAAACACGGCAAGCCTGCCGTCATTTCCCCGGGCTCCCCCTGCCTCCCACCCACCCTGGTCCCAGGCCGCGCCTCTTGTTTTTAGGGATCTGTATCAACTTCTTTCCCTGTGACAGTCTTTCTTATGTTTGTGTGTCTTACCATAACATGATTTAAACAAATCTAGGGTGTATTTTTAAACAACACAACTCTCCCAGCCGCCTCAGGAGCGAGGCAGGGTCTGTGAAAGGTCCTCATTTTACACAGGAGGGAACTGAGGTCCTGAGTGAAATTATGAGTCTCAACAGAGGTCACATGGCCAGTGATCGTCTGCTGTGCTGCTGGGGCTGAGACCAGCGTGCTCGTTCCCCGCTGCTCCCACCAGGGACCAGAGTGACTGGGCATAAGACAGCCGAGGGTTCCTTTACCGTGCTGCGTGCCTGCGGCTCCGGGAGGCGTCTGAGGCCTGCCGGGGTACGGCTCCTGGAGCTCTGGGGTCTTGTCACCCGGTAGTGGGTGGGGCAGTCAGTGCTGACCAGTGTGTTGAAATATAGTGGCAACCATACTTTGGTAAAAACTGCTGTTTGAATTTTAACCCTGCTAAGTCTGGCTCCTGCCTGATTAAACATGGAATACTTACCTCAGCTTCCAGGTGGAGACCTGGAGGCTAAGGCAATTTTCCCTTGCCTGGGACCAGGACCACAGGAGATTGATTCCCACTGACTCAGTAGCTTCAGGGATAGAAACTGTAGATAACCTTTAGAGACTAACCGCTGAGCTCTGCTTCTGTGTTATCGGCTATCGCAAGATAGGGCCACATTCCAATGTCCAGCAGGATGTGAATAGCAACGACCCTGCGGGCTGACTCCAGTCTTTAGAATGTA